ATTAATCAAATTCAATAGAGATAACATACCTATATCATCACATTACATTCCACACATCAAATATTTTTCACATAGTCTAATTTCCCAACAATTTAGCTTTCCTTTTCCTATTTTATCCCTTTCTATATAATCCTGAAAGGATAATCTGACCGAACCATTACCAACACATTGTTTTCCCTTTGTCGGCTCTTTTCACTTCAAAGAAGCCGACGCCTTAAACAAAAATGTCTTTTCTATACCGACTTCTTTCCCCACCCATTCAAAATCCAACGTATATAAACACAAAATAGCAAAATCTCACTGGCACTCTCGACCCAACACGCAAGAATGACACAATTACATAGAAGACAAACACTTTGAGTGAGTAGAAATACTTTGATTGAAGATTAAAAAAAAATATATTTTGCATTGTATAAATTCACTTTTCCACATCCAAAATGTAATTGTAATATATAAACAATGTTTGCAAATCCCAGGTCATGAAGATGATCTCAATAAAGGTCGAAACGTTGGCATGGTAAAGAAAATGTTTTTCTAAAACCTACATCACACCAGACCGCACCTCACGATTTCTAAATAAATATCGATTAGCGGTCACTAATCACCACACATTTCTAAAAAGTTACGTTTATGTTTGGTTTGTTCTGTGTGAAATATTTTTGGATTGTTGAAGTCGAAATTGTGTTTGTGTTCAAAATGGTGGGTAGCCAGTGCTTTACGATTTTGTTTGGGTTTTTTGCAATCATAGATTTGTTGCTTTACTCTCTTATTGGGATGTAATACCGAAGTTGCCGCACAATTTAAATAATTGAGTTTATAAATTACGTCAGATTTATTTGATACTGGTGTGGGATCTTTACTTTTGGAAAAAAGTGTGTGAATTGTTTAGTTTTTAAAAGCCATTTTAAAGTTATAGGAAGAGAGAAAAGTGTTTAATTTATGTGATATGCCGTGAATGAATGACATGGAAATGTATTTGATATATTTGATGTAGTATTATTAGTAATAGTGGATGGTGTTAGTGTTGAGTTGTAGTTGTTGATTATTCGGTTGATTATGTGTTTAGGGTAGTGATTGTTATGGAGGATATGTTTGTTTATCTTTGTTTATCTTTATATCCATGGAGTGAAATGATTCACGGCTTAGGGTAATAATTCTGTAAAGTAGCCCTTTGGCCGTGTTTATTATTGTATGAAGGGGATGGTGTGATGTAAAATTGAAGTAGCGATCTGTGTTTCTTGGTTTTTGATACCAATCTGTGATTAACGTGCAATCTGGTATAAAATAGCCAATGTATAAATTCATTTTTTTATTTTGATTTTCCACATCGTACATGTATTTGTAAAATTCAAACTATGTTTTTTAAATCCCACGCACTGAAGATGATCTCAATAAAGGTCGAAACGTTGGCACGATAAAGAAAATGTTTTTCTAAAACCTACGTCACACCAGACCGCATCTCACGATCTCCATATAATCGTTATTATTCCAAATCAACATGGTTTTTCATTCGAAAATATCTGCATTAACCAACTTACTAACTTACATATTACGACTTCAAAAATTGATTATATTTACACAGATTTTTCAAAGGCTTTTGATGCTGTTGATTGTACGATTCTACTAAAGAAATTACGGCAATTACATGGTAACTTATAACTTCACTAATTTTCGTGGTCCGCTTGACCAATTAATATCTTTCAATTAATTAAGTTTTTTAGTTGAGATAAAACAATCAGCGTTACGAGCGGGATTCGAACCCACGACCTTCGGCTAAACTCTACCACTTGAGCTATCGTGACTTCGATCCTCTCGGAAACTAACTTCCCATCTCCGAGAGGATCGAAGTCACGATAGCTCAAGTGGTAGAGCAGCGGCGTATCTAGCCGAAGGTCGTGGGTTCGAATCCCGCTCGTGACGCTGACTTTTTTATCTCAACTAAAAAACCTTAATTAATTGAAAGTAACCTATAACATGAAGTTTTTGCGGAGGATCTACGGAAAAGGTCAACACAGACAAAAACTTCCTTTCGGTTTTCGCCGACCTTTCGACAGTTTTTATACTGTCATCTTCAGGGCCTGTTTTATTGTCATATAATATATAACTACATAACCAGGGGAGAAAAAACGAGTTTATCCCGCAGCCTTTGTTCCTCTCGTCGAAGAGGGTTTGTTTTTTTGTTTTTTATCTATGATCTTAGTGCATAGTAATTTAAATGTAAGATAAGTTAATTGTATATATATATATACAAGAAACACACTGTGATTGCATGTACCTGAAAACAAAGAAAGGAAGATTTTACTAGTTTTTTAGACTTTTATGAGGTAACCTTTTCTCGACCACGTTTTTTAATTTTTATTGTACTTATAGTTGTAATTATTAATTATTAATTTATTCAATTTAAATAATGTTTAGATGCCGAGTTCCCAAATAAACGAATGTACTTCTGTGTGAAAACCGAAAGGAAGTTTTTCTCTGTGTTGACCTCTTCCGTAGATCCTCCGAAAAAACTTCATGTTTCCAGCAGGTCGATAATCTAGCTCATCGTAACCTATAACGTTAGTTTTCATCCTATTTAGAAGGTCGAATGTTTAAAGTGACTTTTTCATTTATTTATTTATTGTACAACTGCTTACAAAATACAAAAAGATTTACAATGATATGCACATACACGTACACAATATTGTATGCACATTTACATGTATGATGGTTGATTTGAACGGCCACCATCCATTGAAAGTGGCCGTAATTGGCCGTTAAGTAAACAGCAGACTCTAGAGTTGCCTTAGTTACAAAATTGGATGGTCTTCAGTCTTCTATGAGGGTTGGAAGGAAGGGTTTAGCTGGACATGTCATGAATTAACGGGTTGTCGTGAGAGGCTAGTTTACAGGGAAATTTATTATAACGGGGATAAATTTGGGACGTAGGGTATGTTGAGATCGGAGTGGATTGCATGATTGGTGACGTAGAATGGAGCATCAACTATTGTGCGAAGGATTTTGGATTTTTAAAAAAATTGTAAAATAAATTATTCTTTTTATGTGAGGTCATGGTTGACACTAAATTTTTCATCTCAACCAAGGCCTTACATAAAAAGAATAATTAATTGAAATAATTAATATGATCAATTAGACCAGTAAACATAAATTGATTAACAATCATGTTGAATTGTTTTCTTTATGTAGCCACTAAGTGATTCCATTTGGCCCCTAATGAGATGAAATATGAAATATACCCCAAAACATTTTCTAAAAAAGTCATATTGGCTATTTGAGTATTTGGCTAAAATTAGTACCTACTATTTAAAAAAGGAATTTTGAAAAGGGAAACTATTATTATTACGATTTTTTTCAATTAGGCCATTAAACATAGTGGAGTACAAATAAAATTAAAATCGGTAGTTACACATAGTTTTGTAGCCACTTCTGGAGTCTCTCAAGGGTCACACTTGGGGCCTTTTCTTTTCTTATTATTATCTCTTATATAAAATATAGTGGTTTAGAATCACCATAGTAAGTTTTTCAACGTTGAAAAACAAATTTTTTTTAATGTTCTCGCTACTAAAACGCTTATTTAACGAACGTTTACGAGTTTAGTATTGATCACATCTTATTGGTAATTTAACGTTGTTTTCAATGGTATCAACGGATTTTTCCAAAACCTTTTAGTTTTGGAGTTATCATTGTTTATTTGAAGCGAGGTCGTAAAATCTTAAAAAATCAGAAAAAGCTGGAATAACTCCGAAACTGTTGAAATTAGGATCATAGTTAATTAGGACTTTTTGGTACCATTTTAAACGTAGAACCTACTGGCAAAATTTGAAACACGAATAGCCGAACACCCTGTATAAATAAACTTAAAATACAGATGCAAAATGGTCATGTATCTTTTAAAAGAAACTATATAATGAGAAATGTAATAATTTTTAAAAATATAAGCCTTATTTTTAAAAAAATGCTGTAAAATACTAATATCCTTTGTTATACTTTATCTTTTAAAAGAAACGATAGTGAGAAATGTAATAATTTTTAAAAATGATGACTTATTTTAAAATAAATGCTGTAAAATACTTATCTCCTTTGTTATACTTATGTCTTTCAAAAATATAGATGCTGATGATGGGTATAAATTCTTGAATGATTTTTAACAAAAGCCAAAAAAATTAAAAAAGACAAATTAGTCTTAAAATGTTCCGAGTTATTTTTAAAAAATAAATAAATAAATAAACGTGTGAACCTTAATATCTTTATAGTTGAAGGCAAATGTTAAGTATATTACTCGATTCGAACGTGTTTCTTTGTTGTTGAATATACGACGTTTTTTCATGTATTTTCAACATTAAATCATATTACATATTTAAAATGGCTACCACGTTAGTTAATTCGAACATATTAAAAACGGCGCTTCCGTCCGTTAAACCAGCACGACCGATCGGTCATGCGTGGTTACATTTTCAAGCGCCTTGCATAGCGAACTTGGTACTTTCGGAATTTTTCCTGAAAGCGGAAACCAACTCGCGCTTAGCACTGGCATATTTTATCTAATCCACAAAGTAAAATCATCGACTAATATCCATGTTTTTGGAGTGTGAATTCGTAAAATAGACTGCATAATGAGAATGTAAACGGTGTAATGCATTGACAGATACATTACAACCTGTTTCCTTGCAAGTTCCAACTGCCCTTTCCCCAATATCGGACCACAAAAAAATAAAGACAAATCGTGAAATGTTTAACCAACTCGCGCTTAGCACTGGCATATTTTATCTAATCCACAAAGTAAAATCATCGACTAATATCCATGCTTTTGGAGTGTGAATTCGTAAAATAGACAGACATACCTGCATAATGAGAATGTAAACGGTTTTGTTCGAATTTACCGTTAAATCGCTTGCCCACTTCCCGATAACCATTTGTATGTAAAAACGTTGACTTGAATTTGTTTTCTGTATCCAGCCCTAAAACATATCCAAATTAAAAGGATATAAAAAAACGGACGATAAAAGAAAAAGTTTGATTATTGTATTTTCATTATCTATCATTAACTTGACAACATTACAAATACATCAGAAAATAAACGTGAATTATGAACTAACGACAAACATGAAAGGCGTTAATTCATTTCGATACCAACGAAAAAGAAATTCTTTGGATTCAACTTGTTATTTACAATAGGTCGATACAGACAAGACATTAATCTCAGGCTAATAGCGAAATCCAAAACCCGCAGAAAGTGCTAATCGAAGGCTATGCTGAAATCAGTCTTGAAACTTCTTCTGTCTATCGAATACATGTTGTCCGCAGTACACTCATAAACACCGGCGTCCATCTGGGTTGCCGGATCGATCTCGAGTTTGGACTTGACCCTGTCCTTCCCTATTTTCCATTCGTGGACCTGTAAGAAAGAGAAAAAAACGGTAACAAAGATTTGTGCCAGTTGAAGCGTGTCGTTTACGTGGAAATAGAGGTGGGAATAGAGCTCGACTCCGTCCTTAAACCAGGTGATGTGCGGCCTCGGGTTTCCTCTGGCGACGCACAGGAATGCTATCTTGTGGCCGAGAACGTATTCGTAGTCGAAGTGCGACGCAGTTATGATTTTCGCTCCCTGAAACAAGGCAAATCTTAACTTTTGTATTCGTTATTAACAGTTGTTGCGTCTCACGTTGTTGTTGTTGTAATATCTGTCCGATTCTGGGTCTCGGTATTTGCCTGTGACCGGTAGGCCGAGTTGCATTTTACTCTTTGACCTTCTCGTGCCTCTGCCGCCACCTCTCCTTTGCGCTAGGCAACCCATCGCGAGAAGCATCACCAAAACGATAATCAGTTCTCTTCTCATCTTTTAGTTGCTATGGATCGAAACTGCGGTTAAATAAGTTTTAAAGAAAACCAATCTCGTGCAGCAGCTAATTAAAATCTAAGATCGTTCATTAAACGCGTTTCAGAATTGTCCTTGTGCTTCGACGCGAAAGACAGTCAAGTTCAGAATTGGGTAATAGAAGACGCAAAAGCTACGGATTCACCACCTCGCAAACACCAAAATGTTTCACATTTTCTGGATATTTTGTGATCGTAGGTTTTTTTCCATTCATTTTTATTTGCCGTTGATTTTCTTTTTTACGAGGATTCGGACAGCAAAGATAACCCTCGGGGTGCACGTGTGTTTGAAATTTTTGGTAAATATTTCACTGTTGCGGCTACCACGCCCCCTCCCCAAGTTAGTTAGTGTTGAATGTGTTGTGTAAGATCATTTTTTTCGTTCGTGTTGTACATCATGTGGTCACGTCTTCGGCAAGGGTTAACTGAGGGTTCGTCGAATTTTTGTCTGAGCTGAGTTTCCGGTTGCTTCATGGCCATTGCCGATTCCTCACGTGGTTTCCACTCGCGTTTTGACAGTGCGTTAGAAGAGCTTTTGTTTCCCATAAAATCAGTATGACGTTAAAGCATTTAAGTCCCTTCACTCGTGGTGATAAGAAATAAACAAACCATTAAACACATATACATTTATATACCTAATCTATTTTTGATGACACTCTGGGTAGTCAAATTTCACTTAGAACCTACCCTTATTCACACTAATAAATACATTCAAAATATTACCTTTCACTCTGCATATACAGTTAATAATAATTGTCGAACCAATTCACTCTACATACATGTAATTATAACCTACTTTCGTAGGTCTGTGGGGTACTCTTCATTCCACCACAAATCCACTCACACATATGCAAAATATTCGCGCTAATAAATACATTCACCCAGTAATAGATAACCACGCGTAAAAGAGACTGCAAATGCGACGATATTCTTCAGGTATCCAAGCAATTTCTTAAGCATAACATATAAGCAAGCTGTGTTTCAGAAGTTCGTTGAGACTCATGGATAGGCCACACCTTGTCTTTTGATGCGCTAATTGCTCACGTTATAATCAAATATTATCTGTCAGTTTTCCTCCTATCTGTCCAATGTGGTTTTCTATGTATTCGCTTTTTATTGCATATATATCAGATTTGTCCAGTGGGTTAGTAATGTCGAACTTTGACTCAAGATTTTTGAGAATATATTTGTAATATTCAGTGCTGTTTTAATGCCTAATTTTTAAATACATTGCTCAGTTCATACCCCCCTCTTTCGTTTTGTATGTTAATGTGTTTCCATTTGATGCCATTTTATTTAGGGGTCTCTATGACTTGTCTACGGTATAGTTTCTGACTAGTTAGTAGCCATTTCTATGATTTTTATAGTTTGTAATTCTTGTTTGCACTTTGGTTAGTGGGCAGTTTTTAGCCTGTTTGTCATTGTTTACTCATAATCCCTACAAAAACAAAACAATGTATATATTTTTATATTATATATAAATGGCCAAATACCAAAAAGCATCTGACACTCAAAAAAGATAGACCAGAATGGAACAGAATTTTATGTCAGATGCTCACATAAAATCATCATCTCTTCGTAAGGTAATAGAAACTGATGTTTACCTAAACATGACTGTCTGAAAAAAATGGCGAATTTATCATAACAGTTAATAAATTTTTCTCGAATGAAAAAATTTATCTTAATTTTGTTTTTAATTTAAATTTTATTTGCAAAAAATAAAATGAATGAATTAAGTCCCATCAACAATGGCATTAAAAGGAATTTTTAAAAAATAATAGTGATTTTTTTCATAGTAAAGACGATGCCAGGTATGGATAGATCAGAGTTCAATGTTTACCATGCTCATTAATAGCATAAAGGCCACAAAGGTGTCTGCAGCCTATCAATGACTTTTTATGCCGTAAAATATTAAAATTATTAGAAAAGGTTAATCTGAAAACATAAATTTGGAATTTATCAATTCTTTTATGTATTATATGATTGATGTATAATATTTGTATTGAAGGATAATCTCTTTAAATATTTGTTTTTTAATTAAAACAAATATTTTTACCACATTTTTCAAAAACTATTTTGGCGTTTTATTTGCTGTTTCCACATGTTTCATTTATTAAAATATGTGTCCAAATAAAACCAAAGAACTTTTATTTATTTATTTTTTTTAAATACAACACAATGGATTGGAATAGAGGAATATATTTTTAAAAATGAAATGCAGAAACTTTATTCAATAACAGTCTATTTTGAATTTAACCCTGTCAAAATTGAAATGAAAGCATATTTTCATAGTGATATTTGTTTGAAAAAAACACAAATTATCAACACATTCATTTTTCTAATTCAATTACCAGCTGATTTGAAATTTTCAGAATAATTGCAAAACAATGTGGAGATTTAATTAAAAATTTATTAAATCAATAAATGCATGGCCAAAATGTCTGCTTTCCAGAAAGAACCTCAGAATGTGCAGATATCATAATTTTACAAGCTTGTGATTTTCTATTTGACATTGGAAACGTTGTAAAAGATTAAAAATCACGGATTGAATAACATAATTGCAATTTTGATTAAACTCACCAGCAAATATTGATTGAATCTGAAAGAGTGATATCGGTCGAAGCCAAAACCGCTGAAAACTGTGAAAAATGTCGCAGCGAACAAGCAGTTTCTATTAGGTAAATTCTGGACTCCAAGATGGGTGAGTGGTGCTACAAAAACAGGGGGACTGTTATGGCACAATGATAGGATAATTAGGAGCCTCTCTAGGTGACATTGGCCTCTTGTTCGCCTCTCCCTCGCCACCAATCCAATCAACAAGCATCAATTGCTTTAAAGGGGAGTAAGCAATTGGGGATATCCTAGTACGGTGTTTATACTATAATATTAACTGTATATGAATTCACAGTTCACCGTTAATTAACGTCAATTTATACCAGCAATAGAGCAAAATTGTCAATTGTCAGGTTTTTAAATACTTAAAAAAAGAAATTTTCCTTTTTCATCTTAGAATTATTGTGTGTGTATGTGTATAACAGAGTTTTTGCTTTTATATATCTATTTTTGCATTTTTATACTTTTTTTTAATGTACTTCCAAAGTTATTTTTTAATTGTAAATAAGCAACAACAAACTTTTTAAATCAATTTTAACGTTATATTTATTTATCGGGTATATAAGTTTTTATTTTATTTCAAATTGTTTTATTGAATAAGTACGCAACTGTGAGGAAAAAGCCCATTTGTAATTATTCAGGTTTGAGTACCACTAGATTCGAACCCAGGACCTTCACCTTACAAATATTTTTACCACATTTTTCAAAAACTATTTTGGCGTTTTATTTGCTGTTTCCACATCCACTTACCTTATCCTTACACCTTATCCATTACAAACACAACCCCCCCCCATTATATTTGTTTTTTAATTTTTTTATTATATTTATACATACTTAATTATTATAATTACTTTTTATTATTAAAAAAAATTATTATTTTCTGGATTTATAAAATTCAATGCGTTGAAATTGTACAAACCAATTTCCTGAGTATTAGACAATGACATCACCATTATCAATCCTGAAATACCGTTGACAGTCTTGTCCTTAATTATGATGACTGATCATTATAATAATTATTGAACATTAATGTAACATTGCTATCAAAAGATTCTAAAAGTTTACCTTAAGCCCATCTTGCAATAGCGTTGTCTTTGACACTGTTTGGACTGAGTTGATCTTCAAAGAAATTTGAAAGAATTTATTAAAAACTTAATTATGCCAATTTGTAGACATTTTAAAGACATTTAGCTCTGATGATGACTTTAAAATTGGTTCACAGCTAGGCAGATAACAAATTAATTCATTTTTTCATCCAGACCATGATCCAGATTATTTGTGAATAGAAATAATTTGTCGATACATTTAGCAATTTAATGAAGAAATATAAAGATTATGATAAAGCAGAAAACTAATTCTTACTTTTGAGTTTTTATTCACAGATCATTTTTTACAAACAATTTGTGTCATGCAATAAAGTGATATTTAACAATATTTGCTATTTATTTCGATATATTTTTCTAGACATTCAAAAAGTAATACAACCCTGTTTTAAAGGAACGAAAGAAATAATTCGAAGTCAATTCGATTAGATAGTTACAATATAAGTAAAACAATTTGATATGCTTAGTAAGTATAAATAACGTAGTCAGTCCTAAATCCACGGCGGTCAATGGCATATTGGTTGTCGGCCTGGCACTCGTAATAACCTGCATCTTTCTGTGTCGTTGGATCGATTTCCATTTTGGACTTCATGGTGTCATTTCCGACAGGCCATTCATGTACCTTCAATATTTCAAAAATATTGTCATTATGTCGATTTTAGACAGCATAAAAAAGTTACACAATTAAAATTTGAGAATTAAACAGGTTAAATAAATTTAAAAAAAAAAAGCTTTTAAAATTGTATAAATTTTTAAAGGAACAAACATAGCAAAGTTCTAAAAATTCTAAAATTTTATTTGAATAAGACTTTTTTATTTGATTTTATTGTTTGTCAATTTAATAGGTCAACTAATGAAAATATTAAAATATATTATTAAAGGATTATTGACCTGGAAATATTTATGTGCGTATAATTCGATTCCATCTTTGAACCAAGTGATCTCCGGCCTTGGAAACCCTGTAGCCATGCAGAAAAACGTAATTTTCCTCCCGAGCATGTAGTCCAACTCGAAGTGCGACGCTTTTACAATCCTCGCTCCCTTCGGTCAGAGAAAAAGTTACAGTAAAGTCAATAACTTAAATGAGACAATATTACATCTTTATGGTCATAGTAGTTGGCGCTGGCTGGGGTCCGGTGGATCATAATTGGCATCCTGGAGCCAAAGTGACCCCTCCGCCCGCCACCTCCTTTTCCACCCCTTGCTCCACCGGGTCCTCTTCCTATCGCTACAAATACACATTATTAATTATTTATTACGAAATTAATTTGTTTTTTACAATTTGGCCTTTACCTCCTCTCCCACCACCACCTCCCTTCACAGCAAACGCTATTTCTTGGCTCATTATTAAAATGAAAAGTAGAAGCCAACTTTTCATTTCTTCTCGCTAAAACATAGGAAAAACTTTGGCAGAACATTGAATTTTAAAGAAATTTTATTTGTTACAAGACAGTAAGTGAACATACAAGAATATGAAATAGAAAGACAAGGATAAGAGATGAATAAATCATTTTTTTTTATTAACACATTAAAATTACTTCAAAATTAAATTGAGAACATGAGGTATAATGAAATAACAATATAAGTAAAATTAGCTGAAATAAGGTACACATAGGCCTTGAAACTGGTAGAATTAGTATGTCATAATAGAAGCAACATTACATATTCTTTAATTAAACATCACACATTTCTAATATGTTTTCTAATTTGTTACTAGTAAAATTTTACTTTAAGAAGTTACTAGTCTAATTTACACTTGTTTTTTATTTCTATTTGTCAAATTTCTACAAATTTTAGTGGTTTTATTTACTAAAAAAAAATTTGGCACAATTTTTAAAAGATCCACTGAATTGAAATTTACTTGTAATAATATGCTTAAATTTGTAATTGTATGTATCCATGTAGCGTTAATAAATATTAAACAAAAATATATATACACTTAAAATCAAAGTTTAAATAAAATTATAGAAATATTAGGAGAATGTTTTAACTTAGCAATAACAAGTTGGAAGTGGCTCGTACTTTATAATTACAATATTGAATTTTTTTTATTTTTTTGTAATCTTTCTACTTTTCTCTACATGTACTGGGATTTTTTTTTTTACAACATTCATAACCGAAAGTGGTTTTTGATAGAACTGAACTCACCAACACAAGGGCAGAGGAGAGGCGACGGTGTTTACAACCAAACTTAATCCTGAGTGGCAGTTATTGCGAATCTGTTGGTGAGGACATTTCACTTCGGGGAACAGTGATTAAGGATAAACTGGTCAATGACGGGTCATTGAAGGGGAGGCAAGGGACCAAACAAGACCGACGCCAATTTTACCATCTTACAATTTACTAACACAAACCATAAGACTACATTGAATAATATAGATACAAAAATTCACTATGCTATTTTTTCTTCTTAAATATCACTCATATAAAACTTGAAAAAATAAAGTAAAAAAAAATTGTCTGTAGATGATCCAAATAAACATGTTTGATCACTATTTAGAAAATCTTTTAACACAGATGGCCTCTAAGTTTGTTGCAAGCTGGGTTCGTGAACAGTGACACCTTTCCGACCCTTTTTGCCTTCCTTCCTTCAGTACTTTCAGTCACCGTAACATCGTACTTCTGCTTTAGATCCAAGTCTTTTAGTTCAATATAATTTGTGCTCTACAATTTAAACATAAACTATTAAACAGTTTAGTTAAAATAATGTTTAAATGGAAAAATTAGCCTAGTGTCATCATCCATAAGAATTCACTACTTTCGTGGTCTGCTTGACCAATTAATACATGACAATTAATTAAGTTTTTAGTTGAGATGAAAAAAAGTTAATGGCACGAGCGGGATTCAAACCCACGATCTTCAGCTAGATACGCCGCTGCTCTACTGAGCTATCGTGACCTCGATCCACTCGGACATCAACTTCCTATCTCAACCCCACCTTACGAGTTTTCTCTCCTTTTGCCATTTTTGAAATGTCGTGTAATCGGTTTTGATTCTCGACGACAATTGAAATGGCAACGGAGAGCTTTAGTGAAGTGTACTTCATTTTTTAAATCATTAATTCACGACTTTTGTGGTCCGCTTGACCAATTAATACATACATTTTAGTTGAGATGAAAAGTTGTCGCCATTTCAATTGTCATCAAAACTCAAAACCGATTACACGACATTTCAAAAATGGCAAAAGGAGGGAAAACTCATAAGGTGGGGTTGAGATAGGAAGTTGGTGTCCGAGTGGATCGAGGTCACGATAGCTCAAGTGGTAGAGCAGTGGCGTATCTAACCGAAGATCGTGGGTTCGAATCCCGCTCATGCCATTAACTTTTTTTCATCTCAACTAAAAGCCTTAATTAATTGTCATCCATAAGAATAATATTTTAAAATAAAACTGATCTAAACAGTTTCAACAATATAATAATAATAATGAGTCTGTCTGATGGAGCTAATATAATAATGTGTAAAAAAAGTAAAGTAAACAGGCTTAATGACCAACTACCCATTAGGGTTGAAGACTGATTGGTCCAACACAAAACTTTTTGCACATTATGATTTATACTAGGAGAGGAAAAGCCTGGGCCACATACACACAGGAAAAAAATGGAGATGCAGAATAGACCCATACCGATCATGATGCACACGTTGTAAAGAGGCAGGCTTCTATATAATCTACCTATCTATGTGCAATGCATGGATTCAAACCCAGAACCTCTAGCATGGCAAATAGAAGTCAGACACCCTAACCACTCAGCCACTGCAGTTTCCTTAACCACATTTATGTAATAATAATTATTATTAAGTCTTTATTAACTACCAGGTAGCCAGAAAAGTTCATTTGTTATTGTTTTTGTTAATCATCATTTTTACTTACTTAGGAGAATTAGGCATGGCTCAAGAGTGGGAGGTCTCGCACTCTGCAGACAATTAGCATGCAGCAGTCCTACAAATAAGCACGTCTTCATTTCACCATTCACTCATGGAGCAGTCTGACCGCACCTCAACTTGCAGCTCAACAGCAACGGTACTCACGGAACTTCCAGCATCAACTCTCACTCCCACCCTCTCAACAGACGACTTGGCTACCTGCTGCACGAGCCCCTTCTACTGATTCCACTGTATCGAATACTGGCTCATCAACATAGGTACCACACCTTGACCATCAACTTCACACATAAATATCCTTACAATAAAATATGCTGTTGTAACACCATAAATTCAGCATAAAGGAAAAAATGCGTTGAACCTGATCCTTCTGAACTCCTCACAACTTATGGCAGCAAACAGTGGTCAAGTCATAATTTCCAGCCACCTAGACATCAACGATATTTCTTCAAGGCTGAGATTTTTAGTACACACTGGAGCAGATGTTTCGGCTATTTCACCCACTGACCAAGACACAAAAAGTAAACCTCATTGCTGTGACATCCGGTCAAAAAATTTCCCTACTTTGAGCCATAAAAACAAGGAAAGGCAAATTTTAAGACGCTGAAGCTTGTTGCCATCGTCAATGTATGAAGAACCTGTTAGGTTAGTTTCCAAGGTTATGTAAGAAAAGTGAATGGTTTCATCGTTTATGTTGAACGCTCTGCTGTTTGCCATAGATGAAGTTCGATACCTTCTTTCAATTCGTTATTTAAGACAGAATGTCTGCCAGATGGTTCATCTTCAAACCAAGCCCACATGCAAAATTTTTGAACTATTGGGCAGTGCACTCACTTATTGTTTCATCAGTGAATACAGTGCAAATTTTACGAGCAACTTGGCTACCCACTGGCTTAAATTCATATAATAAACATGCACTATTTATCGGTTTTAGCACCATGAGAAAGAAAATATTTTATAATTTTCAATGAACTGTTTAAGACACTTTCTCTTTATGAACTGACATATTATCCTCTTGGTATTATGTGATGTAAGCACCTAATTCTCCTACATAAATAAAAATGTTCATTAATGATATAAAAATAATAACAAAGGGGTCAGTTGCCGCAACAGTGAAGGGTACGCTCAACTGTAAGGTCGTGTTCGAATGTAGGATGTTGGAACCGAACCTAACCTACTTACTAACCGCACAAACTTTCTGATTACCTGGTATTTGCAAATAAAAATAAATACAGCTTAAACAAATATAACCTAATATAATAATGGCTACTACTCAAATACGAGGATGGATGAAATAAATGTACCACCCTAAAAAATTACTCTTCTAGGTTGTTACTACCTGGGTTTCACCATTGTACTCATCAGTTAAGTTGGTCCCAGTATGTTTGATTGGGTCCAAATCTGGATTTTGAGCTGGCAGCACCAATTCCAACCTCATTCAGGTAGTCATCCACAATAAATGATCTATGTGTATTCATGTGGAGGGAGATGGAAATGTAATATATGTTAAATATCTCTATGATGTTAGATATCTTCCTTGCACAACAACCCATTTGGCGCAGTCGTCCAAGGAAATGCCACCACAGAACTTGAATGACCCACCTAAGGAACCATACAGCATGGGGTGTACCTTTCTCCTGAGCATCTCCTTATAAAATTATGCCCATCTGAAAATTTGAGGCCAATTCTAACCTGATCGGTAAAGAAAACTCATCCCCAATTTTCAACGTCCAATTCACATGTTCCAATGCAAATTGAACCCTGGCCATTTCTTGAGCTGTGTTAAGAAGAGGTCCATGAAGCGGGCGCTATTCCAGGCTCGGATATTATTTTAATTGAGCCTTCTTCTTACTGTCCTGAAGGAAATTGAAACAGTTCTGACTTGTCTTATCAGACTTCTTATCACAATTCCTGCAATGCTGCGGTTTCGCAGAGCCGGATGTTGACTGATTTAAAAGTACAAATATTTCTATCGTCTCTCTCATCTAGAAGCCCTGTATCTCTGAAGAGCCAAAGAACCCTTCCTAATGTAGAGTGATCTTAAAAGCAAACTTTAGGTGTGGCAAAATGCAAGGCCATAGTGCTATGTTTTATGCAAATGGGATTAATCAGTACAAAAGTAAATAAATAGCATTATTTACTGTTTATTTTGACTACGATAGCTTCTAATTACCTGTAACTAACGTTGAAAGACAGTGGATTAAATTTTAGACTAAATAAATTGAGTGGCGTCCATCAAATTGGCAGCTAACAACAATTAATGTACATAATTTTTTACCAAAACTATTCTTTAATTTTTGGTAAATTACCAATAAAAATTATAATTTAATAGTTATTAATGTTTACCTGGACTATCTGAATTGTACGACTGTCATATCGATCTTTCTTCCACGACACTGCATATTTTGAGTTATCTCGAGCTTTCCAAGATATTTTGACATTCGCCTTTGCATTTTTATTCTGTTTAACCTTTCCAACTCTTAGAACCAGAGTGTTTTTATACGAAAGCAAATTTGTCGAGCTAACTGTAAAATACAATAATTGTTTAAAATATAGCAATATTGTCGTATTTTTTACTGAAAGGCATTTTACCATTTTTCAATAATTCTCCAATATTCTTCACAAACAACTTCCCTTTTCCGCTGTTTAACTCCTTTTTCCCACATTTGGCATGTGCCATGACTTGAAGTAAATATGACAATTTGGGATCGAGATTTTTTATCTTAACATTGGTTCTCTCCTAAAATAAATTAGTGAAATTGAGAACAATAATAATTTAAAGTAATAACCATGAAAAAATACAACAATGGCTGAAAACATACACATAAAAATTATTGATTTAAAGTAATTTATGAGGTATTTCTTACAAAATCTCATAGGAAAGGGATTCAATGTTAAATTTAAAGCATTTAACACTTCTTCATAGTACAAAAGTGTTTTAATAACTCTTAACAAACAACTCCTACAATGTTGAATATATTTTTTATTTTGATTATGTATTTTAAAGGTATACTTGTGGGAACTTAAAAGGCATAACTGGATCCCTATATTGGAATTTTTGTTTCTATTTAAGATTTCAGACATTTTCTCCAATTCTGTCGATCTAGAATTTTTTAATTTTTCCTGTCATATAATTCCTGCATCACCAGGGGTGTTACTAATTCATTTTGCATTGAAAGGAAAAATCCACCCTTATATTTTAGAAGTAAAGTTCCCACTTTAGACAATACTTTTTTAGGTTTACTAGGTCGATAATATGAAAGAGGACAGATTGACTATTTTTGTGTTTCAATTGAGGTTTTCTTGCATAATCTGACTATCTCAGAAAAAATTATGTTTCACGACTGCACCCAAGGTTTTGGAAATAGGGGTCTCAAATTGGATGCTGATTATTGAATTATTTTGTGTCAGCGTATTTACATCTTTACTCCTGAAATTCTATTTTCCCCCCTCATGTTTCCTAATGTATTTTTCTTTTTATAAATAATCAAAAACGTTTCAAATTTGCAAAAGTGTGCAGAATAAAATTTAAATTATTGTACATGATCACCATGGTGGTAACTGTTAGCAAAAAAGAATATGCAATACAAATTTGGCCTCTAATCATAACAGGATCTAATGCAAGAATGATAAGCACTACATGAGCAGATTAAGAGAAAATGACAAAAAAAAAAAAAAACGGTGAGAGAATAAAAGAAGTATAACAAGTTTAACAAAGAAAATTGGTTTTCTCTGGAGTGAAATTATAAATAAATTTTAAGGCAAAAATGAATAGCCATTGAGGAGATGATAGGCAATCTGTATTACTGAGTTTTTTTTTTTTTTTTTTTTTTTTTTTTAATTAATTAATAAGGACGGAGATTTGTCAGGATTTAAAACAATGCCATTATTACTTGACCATTGATTGAGAGAATGAAGATGATGGTTGAGGAGAGAGTCTCAGAGATGTTGCTTGTAGGATATTGAATGTAAAGCAGATGATAAATAAAATTTGGAGAAATTAAGAACTAGTGAAAGATCATTTAGAACCATAGAAAATAGAAAAGCTCCAAGAACAGAGCCTTGTGGTACACCAGATGAAATTGAGAGATATATCATTTTAGTGCAAAAAAATAGCTCAATATTCTTTCAGGAATTTGCTCGGTGTTCATCTGCAAGTTGATGAACTCATGATCTCATACTTATTGGGACAGTCTTCGGACAATTGGCGCGTGAGGACAAAACCAATAAGTGACCCATTGCCAGTTGAGCATGGATCCTTCAGGTTTAGTATGATGGCATAATATACATTTTGAGTCATGATGGTGCAAAGTTATACCATACCCCAAAGTGTGTCAACTATGCAAACATATAGTTTACAGTTGTATGTTCACGTTGCATTAAGGTACACATTAGAATGAAAAGGTTACCTAAATCATAATAGTTGGCCTATGGCCGCTTGATTAAACTTTTATTTTGATTTCTTTTTTAACCCATGTAACAGATTGAAGATGCATCTGCATGTTATATCAATGCGTACAGTTGTAAATATTTAACCAAAATTTGGATATTTAAAAAAAAATTTAAATAAGCATTAATAAAATTCTATTCCAAGATAATCTCCAATCACTTTGGCCTGACGATTCTTATTGATTTTGCATTTCTGGGTCAGGCGTTTTGTCATTTTCATTGGTCTGTCTGAAAAATCTTCATTTTCATCTTCATGCCTAAATGCATAATCAATGAGAAACTCAGTCCAGAACGATCGGGGATGTCCCCTCTAAAGTTTTCTCATCCCCCAGATCTAAACATATTACCTAACAAAAAAAAAAAAAAATACATTACCTAAAAAAATAAAATTTCACTTCACTAAATATGTATAATTACTATGCTACATCTCAACCCTGTATATACTTTACAATTTTAAGCTCAAAACTTAAAAAATAATAATTGTAAAATAAATAACAAAAATGCAAATTTGGTTAGAATTGTTAAACAGATAATTGTGTTTTTATATATATATTTTTTTTTCAAGTAATTTTCTTTGGGATATTTTTGTCTTGAAATATGATGATCATCTAAGCGTCAAAAGAGGGAAGATAATGGATCAACCACAATGGGATTGGTTTTCTCTTTTGCCACCTTCACGAGGCTTTTGTCTAACATCAGCTTTATAAAACCCACCCTCGGATGGAAAATTTTTCACTCACTCCTTAAACTTCGGCTATGTAAGTTCCTCTGTCTTTAAATATTGTATAAAATTCAACTGTTATTATTACTAGTTGTACTATTTGCATTCAGGAAAAAATTTTCAAAGTCATTTCGGCAGATGTAGCTAATTGAAGAATTGAACATGTTTTTCTGTATTATTCAGTTTTTGTGTTGTCTGTACCATGAAATAACAATCTTAGTTGAATTGAGGTTATGTAAACTTAAATATCTGAAGATAATTGCTAGAAATGAGGTTAAATTTCTCAAATGTGTTGTCAAAATTGGAACGTAGGTAAGGAGGTTTGTTAGCCATTAAGAATAGTCTATATGAACATGAGGTTAAGAATTTCGCTACAATTATTATCGATCGTAAAATAACTCTAAATAACTTAAGTTACATTCAATAAAAAACTAAGATTTCCAAGGCATTTAGGTTTGTTTGACAAAACGAAAAGTGAAATATTCTTTGAAGTGATGAGGATTGGGACAGGAAATGACCGTTTAATATATTTATTAGGTTACTAAAAAAATTAGTGTGAATGAAGAAAAATTAACCTTACTGTTTTTTGAGGTTTTGTGGAGGAAATCTTTTTTTTATAAATTTTAGTGTGACAATAACCAATCATACATACTTTTTTTAGCAGAAATTACTTGCGTAACCATATTTAATTTAATATCCTATAATATAGCAAATAATCATAGTGCGCTCATTTCTACATTATTAAATACAACTGAATTTGGTGGACAAATTATATCACAATTATGTTTGAAATGTTGAAATGCATTTGACCAGCGAGGTTAGACAGACTGAGATGATCAGTTAGAGTTTGATCCATAACAAAGTTTTGAATTATAAAATCAGAAAAAATATAGAAAATAAATGTGCCATGGTCGAATACAACAAGAATCAATTTTCTTAGTCCTACAATACATTTCACAATATATAATTACATATGTACATATATAATACATATATGACTTTTGTAGAAAGGTGTGAGCAATATTGTTTTTTTTTTACCATTTTAATTTTAGGAAACATATCTAAATTTTTAACTTTATAGTTATTACTATTATTATATCTGTAGCTTGTCCATTTCTAGGCAATTTAGTCTAGTTATTCTCATGGTTTTGGTCTGTCAGAAACTCAGCGTTTTGCCAACTTCAGTGCTGGGTTATGATTGAAAATGACCAAGCTGCAGCTTCATCATCCAACATAATTTTAGAAACTACTTACAATACACAAATATTAATATTTGTTGGCATGTTTATGAAATACATACATACTGCAACAGTCTCACTATTTATGGAGATTCCATTTCATCATTTGAACCTTAAATCAATAAATAACTTTTGTCCCAACCAAGTGGGTGGCTATTACTAATTACTAAAGATGATTAATTCAAGTGCAATAAAAAACTATATCAAAGATTATAGGCAGAAACACAGGCTTTATGAATCGTGTGAGTACCCTAAGCAATTTAATATTATTAAAACACAACTGTCCAAATGTGTTATGAAAAAATACATGTATGTACAGATAGTAAGCTGGAAAAGGGTTAATGTAGTTCGGTCATTACTGATCATTTCAGTCTGCATGTCGTTTTACTGTTTTGGTCCATCTGTGGAAGACACTTCAAACAATTAGAGAATTTTTTTTTGACATTTCCTCTCTTTGTAAATAGCACAGAGCCAATGGGAAAAAGGTAAATGTGAATTTTTTTGCAGGGTGGTGAGCGCTTTAGTGCTGATGGCAGCGAGCGCCCTCGCACAGAGTGACTTCATCGTCAACGGCAATGACTGCCTTGTGGTGAAGAGGTCACCAGCTGCCGAGATCAGGCCCTGCCTCTGCCCTCCCAGCAATGAGAAGCTGGTCGACCTAGGCCGAGGCCACTACCCTCGCTACCTTGTTACGCTTGTCTGCGAGCCTAACCGCTGCCACAAATCTGCATACGTCTGTTCGAGTCTGCCCTATAAGACAAGGGTGCTAAAGCGGAGGGAAGAGGATGACGACTCTCGGCCCGATGCCTCCCTGCCACAATCTCTGAGGGAAGAGTGGAAGTTCGTCCATGTGCCCGTTGTCGTCGCCTGTGTCTGTTCCCTTTGAAATTGTACCCCTTTTCTATAATTAAACGATTCCAGATTGATTTATCTACTTACGCTCCTGACTTTCATCTCTTTCGTGAAGGTGGAGCCCTTTTCCGGGCGAGTGTGGTTCCCGGCGATCCTCTCGCTCACAAAAATTGTATACTTTTGAATGGGCATCATCGAATTCGGTGCTTTCCAAGTAAGTATGCCCCAAATTTTGCCCGTCTTTGCAGCCATCTTTATCGCCTGGAAAGTCAGGTCACTCGGCTCTTCTGGCTCATGTGGATCTGCACAATAACAGAATAAATTATCTATTTCAGATTATAATAATTAGACGATGTTGAGGTGCGTCTGGAGAATCCAGACAATGTCCAATGATTGATCAAAAACTGCCACAAACCTTCACTTATTTAAATTAGGTTTAGACTTTTGTCAAGTGTTTGTAACATTGAACATACGTAAGATTTGAAAGAAACTAAAATATCGGCAAATCAATGTTTAACAATAAAAGTGTATTAGCAGAATAATTATTTACTTTTAATAAAATATTAATTGGACCTTTTATTGATTGAGATCTATTTATGACTTCAAAGGAAATTACTTTGTACATTTGATTATGCTTGATTTTTTGTAACATGAAATATAAAAATTGCATTGTTCCTTTTTCCATCGACAGTTAAAATAGATCTCGGATTGTAATTCTCTTAGTGTCTTTATGCAACATTCAGTATACTTTTCTAGTCAACTACTGTTATTAATTGACCATATTTGTGATATTTACCAAGGGAGGATCTAAACGGTTTAGACGGTTTTGAAAAACCAAAGGCGCCATGCCTGTTAACAGCAGCTACACGGAATTGGTACCAGGTGCCCAGTTTGATGGGGAATGTGGTCATCCTTCCGACAATCCCATTCTTCATGCCTTTGTTCTTGAGAGGCTCCCATTCCCGCATGAAGTAGCTGATGTACTTGCAACCGGTGTAGTGCCGTTTCTGAACATAGAAATACGTGTCGTTGTTGCTGAAACTTACCCAGTGTATAGCCACACTAAGACCCTTATCGCTCTCGATTACAGTCACATTCGTAGGGATCTCTGGTATTTCTGCAACAAATTTTTGGTTTAGGGATGTTGGTATTTTTTTGTCTTTGTCATGAACGGTTGGCACCTGGGGAAAGGTCTGGGTCTGGCTTCAGGCAGCTCATACCACATTTGTCCTCGCAGCAGATTGTGCCCTCCTCACAGGACCAGTCAGTACAGCTCGTCTTCGAGCACACATCATGCTTAGAATTTAATGTTTTATTACAAGTAAATTGGCTGCTTTGCTCCATACAACTGTATACACATGCCTGAAAAAAAATTGTTAACATGTACACTGATTATAAATGAACAATTTGTAAAATATTTACTAGTTTTGTGGTCCGCTTGACCAATTAATATCTTACAATCAATTAAGGTTTTCAGTTGAGACAAAAAAAGTCAATGGTATGAGCGGGATTCGAACTCATGATCTTCGGCTTGATACGCCGCAGCTCTACCTCTTGAGTAATCGTGACCTCGATCCAGGAATCTCAACCATACCTTTTGAATTTTCCTAATGGGAAGTTAGTGTCCAAGTGGATCGAGGTCATGATAGCTCAAGAGGTAGAGCAGCGGCGTATCAAGCCGAAGATCGTGGGTTCGAATCCTGCTCATGCCATTGACTTTTTTATCTCAACTGAAAACCTTAATTAATTTGTAAAATTAAATAATCAACCCCTTAAAAAGAAAGCATTTTTAAAGTATTTAAAGTTTCAAATTCACATTCTTTTACAAGATTTTTGGGATGTTGAAGTTGTCATAAGTTTTCATTTCTGACTATCCTGCCCTTTTTCTACTGTTTTGTTTTGCCAGGTTAATTTCCAGATTTTACCACATTCGGTCGATTTTTATTTGTTAAATATTAACAATTTCTGATTATGATAATGGTTACTAGTAAGTGGGAATTTTTGTTCCCCAAGCACTGCAGCCTCTGACTTATAGCACTTTACTAGTTCCTTAGTTCAATGCAATCAACTCAACCCTTCTCCTGAGAAATATTAGGTCATTGACTCTCATTGCTACAATTCATTTTCCTGGTTTTATTTCTACCACAGGTAAACGACTAGGTTATGTCTCCATTGAGTGTCTGCTTCACATTCAAAGGTGGCATGGCTGTTTTTTCCTCCTTATTGCATAACCCAAGTATGGAGTCATCATTGAATATACCTACATTATGTAGATGTTTTCTTAGACTCCATGACTGGTAGTCTATCACTCCTTTGAGTTCGGCCCCTCTAGCAGTGGCAGTGAGTTTGCCAGTGGTGAGGGTTGTTTTAACATAATCACTCTGTCTAGCACCTGGATAAACTCCTCTTCTTGTTTTCCTTTCATAAGCCTTCAACCTTGTATAGAATGAGACCCCATTCAGCTCAATTTTGTTTTTCTTATCCGACTCCTGCTGTACTAAATTAGTACCTAAATTGTAATCCATGCAGTTTAAACAACAGCCTCATTCTTTCACTATAGCTGGTGTGATGATAATGATGATGGCGGATACTGAAAGGGGCTTTGTTCCCCCAGCACTGCAACCGTCTGGCTGTACTTCCCTAGTTCAGTGCTATCGACTCAATCCTCTCCTAAGGAGTTCTAGTTCGTGTACTGTTGTTGCTGCAATTCATTTTCCTGGGTTTTCTTTGAAGCCCAGATTATGTCTCCATTGAAAAGTTACTTCACATTTGAAGATGACATGGGTGACTGTTTCTTCCTACTCAATGCATAACTCATTGCATTGTATGGGGTGAACATTGAATACACCCATGTTGTGTTTTCTCAGCTGCCAGACACCGGTAGTTCTACTATTATCTGACGTTAGTCCTCTCTAGTTGTAGCAATTAGTTTGTCAGTTTTGGTGAGTTGTTTTAACAATAGCTTACTGTGTCTACCACTATAATCTGCTGTTCCTGTCCATTTCAATAATGTTTTTATTTAACGTCACATTCTTAATGGGTTATTTAAGAGCACCTACCGCCGCTCCTTCTCTTTATCCTTGTCTTTTTGGTTTCACTTTGTGATGAAGGATTATGTGTTTGTTTTCGTTGTAATAAGAATAGGTCCCGGGCCTATGTATGGTCTTCCAGATCTTCCTAAGACCAATGTGTCTTCCTTTTCTTTACCCATAATTTCTTTGGGTCCCACTACCCAAAATATCATCACGTTATCGTGTTTCCCCAGGTTTTCTAAGCATTCAATGACTAGTTTTGGTGTGATTTTTTAAAAATACCAATGCTTTAATAGCTGCTTGGTTATCCGATTTTAGGAGGATTTTTTGCCAGTGTGCCATATTTTAAGATTTTCTCAGGCATATGAATTGTTGTTTTCGTGGTAATTGTTTTATAGTTAATTTTACAAAAAGGACCTGATTAAATAAAAATCAAAACGAGCCCACCACTGAAGACATACCCGCGAGAATAAGCGTACCAGGATGGCCCGAATCGATCCAGTAATACTTTTTTGAAGCGGTTCATGTTCTTTCAGATTTTTGGGGTCGACAGATGGTGCCAAAACCTTTTTTTGTACTTCTATTTTTTGTAGTTTTTCTTTAGAGCAACTACATACAATTAAAGCCTCAGTTTTTATATCCCTACCTGTTGAATGTTGCTGTTTCCAACACTGAAATATTATAATGTGATTAATGCAAAAACTGAATCTGACTAATGCCGTGTGAAAAAGATTTTGTAAGCGATGTAGAGCGGGTTAATGCAGTACTTAAAAGCCATATTCAACCTTAATTAACATCAAACGACTTAAACTGAGCGAAAGTCATTGTCGGTTTTGTTTCCTCGGCTGCGTAATGACTAATGAGTACAAATTGAGAAAACAATTTTCCAAGTCGGACAATGGTATCTCGTGTGAACTTTTGCCACGAAGAGTCGGGAAGACGGATCGGCAAACAGCGATGTGAATGTGTTCGTAATTGAAAAGGCGAGGGATCGGAATCTTGTCGGGAATCGTCTGAAGAACGGCTTCGAGGGAACGGAAGTGTTTTATAAAAAGCTCAGCGCCGCCGTCGGAAAGCTGTTCCCAGTAATGAAGTAGGCGGGTTGCGGACGTAAAAACTCCACTTTGCAATGAACGGAAAATAAGGTTTTGCCGACGGGTGTCGTGGGCCTGTACACAGCGAAACGGTGCGGGCGTCGTCAACCCCCGGCAGTCGATTATTCACAGTTGGCTTGGATTCAAATAGCAAAGAAAGGCGAGCGATTACAGGAAAATTCCTCCTGCCTCCTGAGGAAAACCAAGGTTAGAAACCTGGCGAAAACATTTCAGACACACATACGAAAATCGTTTGAAAAGTTATTTAAAAAAGAGGCACCACAAGATTTCGAAGATCCTCATCAAAACTTGAAATTTACTGTAAATTGTATGCGTTTCGAATTACAACCACGTACTCCGGCATCTGTTAAAACATTTTTATTGAGAAATCGTATTCTGCAATACTATAACACACTCAATCGGTAACATTTTTGTTATACACTCGAAGACAAAACCGGACACTCGCATTTTGCCAATCTATAATTATTTTTATTGTTAATAATTAACATGCTTTTTGCTTTTAATGTACGAAATTAATGAGATCAAAAATGCATGAGTTTTACTAAATATTTTGCCTAGTTTTTCTCTTAATAACGTATATTATACCTCCTTTGGGATCGCGAAGCGTCGAAGAAGTCTCTTTGGTATAAGCGACCGGATTTCGTTTTGTAAATGAGAATCCTATTATTCAAAAAGAGCGGTTTGAAGCTTGTGGTGGCTAACTGCAGTTACCACGGTGCCCACTGATTCTGGAAGGGTCATGCCCTCCACTCTAGAGCCACTCCGAATAGAGGCATTTCGTATATAATCAGGGGCACTGCTCCACTGACTTCAGACTCGTCTACTCGATGAGATCTCATCATGCACCTTGAGACTCTCCGCGACGAGGTCTCAACAATCACTAATGGAGCACCGACAACGACAGCAAGAGGACTCGACCTCGTCTTCTCAACACAGACGACTTAGCTACTGGCCAATTGCTGCATCGGCTACATGCTGCACCAGAGTCCCTTCAACCGCTCCAGAGTCAACCGACTCATTACTTCTACGCCCCCGGACTTCAGACAACGGCACACTCGGTCACTGACCTCGACAAAAGGCTTACTCCGTCCCGGCCTCAACCACCGACCCTATGTCAGGGCTATCAAAACTCCCAGCCACTGAAAATCTGTTCAATGCTTGTTAGAGGCGGCGAAAGATATTTTATACGCCTCTTTATCTTGTCCCATTAGTGTCGGGAGAACGTGCTGGCCGATTCATTGTGATAATTCCTACATCCTCCAACTAATGGGTCTAAAACTCGAGCTACATGCATGGTCGAGCATTAACACGAAGTTTTCTCCAAAAATGAAGCTTCCAGAAGAACTTCCTCAAAGTACCTTAGACATTTGTGCAGACAAATATCCATTATAATCAGTTCGGTACGGGCGTGGCCAGCACATACCATAACCGGCTGTTTTTGTAAATGTTGTGACACACGCATGGCACAAGAAGCAAAGGGTTCCCTACACATGCTCTCGGTCATCTGATAGCCACAAACCAAGCCGGCAATCATTTCTGAAAAGAACAGCCCCCCCATTGTTCCAAGCAAAATGATGATTAGCCAAAAGTCGCCATTATGCTCGATGACTCTCCAGTAGTGGAGAACCTGATATGGGATGTCTCGAGACTCGGCTTTTCTCACAAGCCTCTGATGTCTGTTTTAAAGCCCACCCATACTTTAACGACAGCTTGAAGTTGACTCCCTATCAAGGAATCCGTTAAATGACGGTCTAGCACTAACTGCAATAAAACGATCGTTCAGCCGTCGTACGACATTCTCTTCGATAGAGACTTCCAGTGGTCCTAAACCGTTGCTGACCGTGGATGGTAGAGCGCAACATACCCAGGGCTATATAACGGACGCTACATCCGTCGTGCAGAGTTGTGCATTTTTCGACCTTAGGAAAAATGCAGCATGTGCTTAAATGGACTATCAAGTCATTTCTATCTAGCCATGACAATAGTCGAAGGATATAATAAAATGTTAGGGGCCAGTTCTCATTATGAGGTGAGAGTTAGCCTCAAATCTTCAGATGGACGTAATTTCATAAGGAGACGCTCAGGAGAAAGGTACAGCCCATGCTGTACGGTTCTTCATATGGCATTCCATGGTGGGACAATGATGTTCTGGGATGGCATTTCCTTAGACGACTGCACCGAATGGGTTGTTGTGCGAGGATGATATCTAACTTCA